CTCTCTCTCTTGACTCATGGGAGACATCTACATATGTTTAAGTTGACCTAGGCATTTTGAAGGGCAAAAGATAACCAATTTCTTTTTTACTATTCTGGAACTGTTACTTTTACTTTAAGACAAAATTCTTCTTTTTCCTTAAACAAAACACATTTCATATAACATCTAGCTTAGGTTACTTAGAAAGGTTTTGCTTTTAAGACTGACATAGTATAGAACATAAATATCTTAGTGTACTTTTCCAACAGACCAATTTATATCAAAGATTTTCCAAGTAGCTACTAAAAGTCTAAATCATAAGACAAACACGAGACACAGTTTTTTATGGATCAAGAAAGAACTGAGGTTCTATGACCAGCCTTACAAAAAACAGCAAGTCTCAGCCATAACCTCCAGCCCGATACAAGACACAATGCTCTAGACCAGAAGCAAGCTCTTAGGACAAAAGGAGACAGAAAGACCACAGAAACTCACCAGATAATACCACACAAAACAGGGATATGTGGATTCTCGTTTCTTAAAGTGTATCTAGCCATTTTTGGTAAGATGGACTCAATTCAATGGAAGAAAACGGGTTCTAGATAAAACTTATTGTCAGAGCCCCAGATGGAGGCATATTAGACCTTCTGACAAAACCTGAGCAACAAGCAAAGCTCCCCAAAGAGGAAAGAAAAGGACAACACATGCGGAAGCTCATTTTCCCAAAGTGGTCACTGAAATTCCAAGTTACTTCTAGTATATTCAGCTCATAGCGGTTTTAAACATGAACCCCAGACTAGTGTCCGGTAGCAGGGGGAAATCCAGGCTCATTTATCAAAGATGTTAAGCTCTAAGGTTCAAGCTTCTGGTTTCCTATTTTTGAACTTAATTTATTCTGCCGGCAAGACAGAGACACAGTCTCTTATTTCAGACCTTAAATATACTAGTTCTTCCAATTGGAAAGTACTTTAAAGCTACTGATGATTTTATTTAACATTGTGATTCTTAGTTGAGAAATTGTATCATAAAACAAGTATGGAACTACCACTTCTCCCTCAAATTTCTAACACAGGTCCGGAGCTGCCACCTCCCCCTGTGAATTTGGCAAAACAGAGCACTATTTTCCAGGTTTTCTCTGAGCCACAAAAAGAAACCTAAGGAGGAACACGACAGAGTTTGGATGGTGTTTTGCCTAGACCACGTGTACCTGCGCTGCAATGGGAAAGCTGGCCCGAGGGCGCTCCAGCCTGTCTCACAACCACCTCATCCTTTCAGAGGAGAACTCAATGCTCGCGATGAGTGCCGGTGACCACCCCAATGGCTTTTACTGGCTGACCCGTGCCTGGATTTTTGTGGCTTATAGTGACTCAAAGCTCTTTGAAAATAGAATTATCTCTTTAATGTTTCAAACGCCGGAATCCGGACCTAAACTGCAGTTAACCAAACGATCAAGCAAAAATCTAAGAAAGATTCTCCTTAATCAAACAACCGGTTTTTCAAACCAATGTGAGGAATGAAGCTTAAGAAAACATGAGAAAGAGAGCAAAAAAGAGTAAGCAAAGGCTCGTTTTCCTAGAGCACTCACCCCGTCAGTGTGAAAGGCACATGGAGTGGAAACACGTGGGTCCAGAAGATAGGACCCCACTTCGCTAGCTTCTGCTCTGCAGTCCAGAGCTCCTTGAGGTTGATTGGATTCATAGCTTCAGAAATCCCTGATGACTATGCTATTAACAGTTGCAGAGGAAAAATATCACAAAGTTTAGTAAAGCAAAAAGAAAGTTTTATTCAGCATATATTCACAAAGGCAAAAGTAGGAAGCCGACAACCATGCTGCCAGAGCCGTGTCTGCCCAAGTCCAAGGAAATACCACAGAACAGACAAAAGTGGGAAAACGGACAAGCATGCTGCTGGAGCCATGTCTGCCCGAGTCCCTGTATTTTTTATTTGTAATTCTATTTGTTACGTTCTGCAAACAATAATTATAAACACATGATACCAAGCACACAATTTATAAAGACGTGATTTGTGACATCAACGTAAAGGACGAGGAAGGAGGAGTATAGGAACAGAGTTCTCTGTGTGTTAAGTTGGTATCAATTTAAACTAAATTTTCATAAATTTAGGATGGTAAATGTAAGCCCCATGGTAACCACAAGGAAAATTTAAAAAAAGGAAATGAAGAGAATCAAAATAATTCACTATAAAATATCAACTGAACACACAAAAACGGGCAGTATTCAAGGAAATGCGGGATGAAAAGGTACAAGACTCACAGAAAACAAATAGCAAAATGGCAGAATAAGTCCTTCTTTGTTGCTGTCGTTGTTGGGTGTACTTGAGTCAGTTCTGACTCATAGTGACCCTGTGTACAACAGAACGAAATACTGCCCGGTCCTGTGCCATCCTCACAATCGTTGTTCTGCTTGAGCCCATTGTTGCAGCCACTGTGTCAGTTCATCTTATTGAGGGTCTTCCTCTTTTTTGCTGACCCTCTACTTTACCAAGCATGACATCCTTCTCCAGGGACTGATCCCTCCTGAGAACATGTCCAAAGTATGTGAGACGTAGTCTCATCATCCTTCCTTCTAAGGAGCATTCTTGTTAAGTACTTCTTCCAAGACAGATCTGTTCGTTCTTCTGGCAGTCGATGGTGTATTCAATATTCTTCATCAATACCACAGTTCCAAGGTGTCAATTCTTCGGTCTTCCTTATTCATTGTCCAGCTTTCTCATGCATATAAGGCGACTGAAAACGTCATGGCTTGGGTCAGGCGCACCTTAGTCTTCAAGGTGACATCTTTGCTTTTTAACACTCTAAAGAGGTCTTTTGCAGCAGATTTGCCCAATGCAATGCGTCTTTTGATTTCTTGACTGCTGGTGGAGTAATGGTTAAGTGCTACGGCTCCTAACCACAAAGGTTGGCAGTTGGAATCCACCAGGCGCTCCTCGGAAACTATGGGGCAGTTCTGCTCTGTCCTATAGGGTCGCTGTGAGTCGGAATTGACCCGACAGCAACAGGTTTGGTTTTTGGGGGGCTTCCATGGGCGTTGCTTGTGGACCCAGGTAAAATGAAATCCTTGACAACTTCAGTCTTTTCTCCGTTTATCATGATGTTGCTTGTTGGTCCAGCTATGAGAATTTTTGTTTTCTTTATGTTGAGATGTAATACATACTGAAGGCTGGGGTCTTTGATTTTCATCAGTAAGTGCTTCAAGTCTTCTTCACTTAACGCAAGCAAGGTTGTGTTATCTGCATAACGCAGGTTGTTAATGAGTCTTCCGCCAATCCTCATACCCGGTTCTTCTTCATATACTCCAGCTTCTCGGATTATGTGCTCAGCATACAGATTGAATAGGTATGGTGAAAGTCCTTCTTTATCACTGATGAATTCTACCAAGCAATTAAAGAGGAATTAGTAAAAATTCTTCTCAAACTTCCAAAAAATAAAGGATAAGGAAACACTTCCTAAGTCATCCTGTGAGGCCAGCTGATACCAACACCAGATAAAGACACCACAAGAAAACTACAGACCAATGTCCTTTATGAATACCGGTGCAAAAATCCTCAACAAAATACTATCGAACTGAATCCATTTTGAAAAGATTAGAAACAATGACCAGGTGGGATTGCTCCCTGGGATGCAAGGTTTATGCTGCTGTCACAGCAGAGGTGGCTCTTGCTCTGAAGCCTCCGTGCTGAACCACAAAGCGATCATGTCCCCCACCTCCACCCCTGCCCCGTGAAACCTCAAATAGTTACTAACTTTGGAGAACAATCTGATGAACCCAAGTTAAGCATTTATGACTACAAATGACAAACACATGATCAGAACCACTTTTAAGAAGTTAACAACAACAAAATGAACATCTTCTTCACACTGTAAGACAAGCAGCAGATTTGAAGTGTAGGTCATCCGGTCATACAAGTTGAGCTGAAACCCAGTTTTCATCATCAGGTCTCGTTTCCAGCAAATCCACTGGGAAACAGCTTCCTAATATGACCAACCAGAAGGGCAAAGACGAACCGTAAGACAGAGCCCTCTTTCCCTTCCTCCCGCTGGGTCTCAGTCTTTAGAAGAAGTAGGAACTGTGCTGGTGGAAGCTGTTGTGTCCAGCAGCATCTGCAGGCACTTGACCAACTTCTCTTAGGAGCAGCCCCTCCCAGGCACTCCAGGGGATGGTGCAGTTCAGGGGGTGGGCTTTTGACTCTGGGACCTCATTAACGTCATCACAGCTTTGGATGCCTCAGGCATCATTTCTGGAGTCAACATCATCTGAGAAGTACCATTAGAGAGCATCGACTAGGGGCTAAGACAGCCCTGGTTTTGAAGCTGCCCTTGCTGGCTGTGTGAACTTAGATGAGCTCTTTTTCTTTTGTGAGGCTGCTTCCCCCTACAAATGACAGAAAGGCTTAGCACTGGCCTCGTGGGGTTGTCATGGGGGTTGCAGGAGATGATACTAGTACAGTGTTCTTCGTGGGTGGTGAGGTGCTGCTCTACGCTTTGCTGTTACTGACGTTGACTAGCTTATCATTGGCCTCTCACTGGAAACAATACTAACTGCAGGTCTCTTCTGAAGCGAAAATGGAGGCAGGCATTTGTATCGAGGGAGGATATTTTCTCACTGAAATTTTCCTAAAGTAGAGCAGTTTGAAAGAAGAGAAGAAGGAACCCTCCTCTCAGAAGACCCTGGTCTGGGTCTGAGGCTGTCCAGCGTGCTTTTACGGAAAGGATGCGTGGAGATGCTGCTTCCCTGGGGGATCAGTAGTAGTGGTCCCCTTCACGATCCTGCCCCAGTACCTACGCTTAGCTGCAGAGGTAGACCAGGCAGAATTGCCTGGATTCCCCAGGGAATGTTTATATGTTTTGTATTTTGACCACTTGCAAAAGCCAAGCCATCTTTATACTCAGTTTTCTGTGGCTTGAACTGTGTTGAATTTGACAATGGTATGAGTCAAAGTCAAGTAGCTTGTCAGTCCTTGTCAAGCCCTTCTGAGTTTGATCTGGGTTGTTTTTGCTGTAGGAAAAAGCCAGCAAAGAACCCCAGGAGCAGAAGTTCCCTATATGGGTGCGCCACCGCTTCCGCCTGAGCCGGGGGAGCAGCGTGGTGTCCTCTGATGTGGACGAGCTCCTCCTGAGCACAGAGGCGCCCTCCAGACAGCAGCCAGGTACCGTATGACCGTGGGGCTGTCCTGGGCAGGTGATGTCATGCTTTTGTTACCTGGTGCCTCTTCTCCTGCACGGCTGGGAACCTCCCATTAAAAATAATACTAACAGAAGTAGGTAACACCGAGCATTTACTCTGTTTTATGTCATCTAACCCTAACACCAACCCAACAAGGTAGGAACCTCTCCATTTTCCACACAGGAACTTGAGAGTCATTCAGTAACATATCCAAGTAAGTGGCGGAATGGGCCTTAGTCAAGATCTCATGATGTCCAATCCACAGTCCCCTGACTCCCATTTCTCAGCGCCTCCTGGCCTCAGGCATCAAAAGCATCAGTTCTTCAAAGGCAAGCCTTCGAATTACGGTGTTGGTGAAGAACACTGAATATACCATGAACTGCCAAAAGAACGAACAAATTTCTCTCAGAAGAAGTACAGCCAGAATGCTCCTTACAAGCAAGGATGGCGAGACTTCGTCTCTCATACTTTGGACATGTTATCAGGAGGGATGGGTCCCTAGAGAAGGACATCATGCTTGGTAAAGTAGAGGGTCAGCTAAAAAGAGGAAGAACCTCAATGAGATGGATTGACACAGTGGCTGCAACAATGGACTCACGCATAGCAACGATCATTAGGATGGCGCAGAACTGGGCAATGTTTCATTCTGTTGTATATAGGGTCGCTATGAGTCGGAACTGACTCAATGGCACCTAGCAACAACCTGGCTTGAGGGGGAGGGGAGGGGCTCTGCAGACAGCTCCCCCTAAATGAGCATCTGTTGTCCAAAGGTCTTCCTGGCAGACCCTTAGCTCTTTACTTGGCTCTTGTATCCCAGAGGAACACTGTGTACGTGGAAGAGCAGATAGGAACTGTATTAGTTTCCTGTGGCTCCCGTAACAAAGTTCCACAAACCTGGTGGCTTAAAACAATAGAAATTAATTCTCTCACAGTTCTGGAGGCCAGAAGTCTGAAATCAAGCTGTCAACAGGGCCATGCTCCCTCCAAAGGCTCTAGGAGAGGATCCTTCTCCGCCTCTTTCAGCTGCCAGTGGTTGCTGGCATTCCTTGGCTTGTAGATGCACCACTCCATCTCCACGTGGCTCTCTTCCCTCTGTGTCTCTCTGTGTCTCTCCTCTTTTTTTTCAATAAGGACACCACTTACATTGGATTAGGACCCACCCTACCCCTGTGTCATGGATTGAATTGTGGCCCCCAAAATAGGTTAGGCCATGATTCCCAGTACTGTGTAGCTGTCCTCCATTCTGTGATTTTCCACTGTGTTATAAATCATAATCTCTGCCTGTGGTTAAAGAGGATTAGGGTGGGATGTAACACCCTGGCTCAAGTCACATCCCTGATCCAATGTAAAGGGAGTTTCCCTGGGTGTGGCCTGCACCACCTTTTATCTTACAAGAGATAAAAAGAAAGGGAAGCAAGCAGAGAGTTGAGGACCTCATACCACCAAGAAAGCAGTGCTGGGAGCAGAGCGTGTCCTTTGGACCCACGGTTCCTGCAAGGAGAAGCTCCTAGTCCAGGGGAAGATTGATTACAAGGACCTTCCACCAGAGCTAACAGAGAAGAGAAAGCCTTCCCCTGGAGGTGACGCCCTGAATTTGGACTTCTAGCCTCCTAGACTGTGAGAGAATAAAACTTCTGTTTGTTAAAGCCATCCATTTGTGGTATTTCTGTTACAGCAGCACTAGATGACTAAGACACCCTGTATTACCTCGTGTTAACTAATAACATCTTCAAAGACCCTCTTTCCAAACAAGGTCACACTCACAGGTACTGGGGTTAGGACTTCCACATATATTTTGGGGGGACACAATTCAATCTACAACAGGGACATTTAATTTTTGAGTCACAAAGCATAAGTTTACTTATTCTGTGTGATAAAAATGCCAGGATAGTATTTGTTCATAAGGATGTGAAGACAGCACGTGTCAAAACTAGTCAAAAACAGAATGGGGGTCTCTCCAGCCTGGATGGGTAGAAAAGCTGGATCTAGAGCCTCATTAACAATTTTGTTTCTTTTTAATCTTTTCAGCTGTTTCCTAATTTTTTTAAAAATCAAATCTAGTCCATCAGGAAGCAGTTGCTTTCTATGGAGACCTGTATTTATGCATTAAAAAAAGTATCTACAAAATAAATTTCCTTCTTGTCTACCTTTAAAATTTGTTATTTTCTACAGAATATACTGAATCAATGAATTTACAATAGAATAGTGTAAATAGCATTTCTGAACCCAAATCCATTGGGATTTTTTTGTGTGTGGTAAAAATATATATAACAGAATATTTGCCATTCAACCATTTCTACATGTGGAATTCAGTGACCTTAATTACATTCATCATGTTGCACAACCATCACCACTATCATTTCCAGATGTTTCCGTCACCCCGGACAGGGGCTCCCCTTTCCCTTTTCCATCTTGCTGCACGAGCTTCATAAAGGCCATTTGTAGAGGCTGGAGATCAGCTTCGCCTGTTGACTCCCCCAGAATAGAGCTGTCTTAGTCATCTAGTGCTGCTGTAATAGGAATGCCACAAGTGGATGGCTTTAACAAACAGGAGTTTATTCTCACAGTCTAGTAGGTTACAAGTCCAAATTCAGGGCGTCAGCTCCAGGGGAAGGCTTTCTCTGTCGGCTCTGGAGGAAGGTTATTGTCATCAATCTTCCCCCGGACTAGGAGCTTCTCTGCACAGGAATCCTGGGGCCAAAGGATGCCCTCTGTTCCCGGCGCTGCTTTCTTGGTGGTATGAGGTCCCCCACTCTCTGCTTTTATGTCTTGTAAGATAAAAGGTGGTGCAGGCCACACCCAGGGAAACTCCCTTTACATTGGATCAGGGATGTAACCTGAGCCAGGGTGTTACACCCCACCCTAATCCTCTTCAACATAAAATTACAATCACAAAATGAAGGAGAATCACACAATAGTGAGAATCATGGCCTAACCAAGTTGTCACATATTTTGGGGGGACGCAATTCAATCCATGACAGGAGTTATCGACCACTGTTTCTAGTAACTGCTCAACAGTGTCTGTTGCCCCCTTTCCATCCCCAGAGCCCTCCGAAGCCCCCGCAAGGGAGGAAGTCCAGCCCGCATTCCTGGACCGCCTCCAGCAGTTAAGCCCCGAGGATGAAGAGGCCCTGGCGGAGAGAAGGGAGTCTGAGGGAAGTGACGAGGCGGAAGATGAGACCCAGCTGGTGGTTTTGGACCCAGACCATGTAAGAGAACCTTCTCAGGGTTGGCGTCTGCCCTAGGTGAAGACTAACTCAGAGATGCCTTCCCATGGCGCCCAGGCCCTTCTCTGCTGCCCATCCCCACCTCCTTCCATGGAGCACTCCCCACCCCCCACCTGTTGTATTCCCTCTCACCTGTCCACCACACGGCTTACCTGTGGGCTTTGGGTCTACTGCTTTGTAATAGGTACTCACATGTTCCTATAGGTAGAGACAGGGCTTCCCAGCCGCCACACTGTTGGCATTTGGGGCTAGGTCATTCTCTGGGGTGGGAGGCCGTCCCCTGCACTGTAGGATATGGAGCGGGTTCCTGGCCTCTACTCACTCAATGCCAGTAGCACTCCCCCCCCCACGCCCCCACTTCCAGTTGTAACAACCAAAACTGTCTCCGGACATGGCCAAAGGTTCCCTGGGGGGGGGGGCACAATTACCCGACTGATAGCCACTGTCCTGAGCATACCGACCAGATTCTAAGTTCCTTCGTTCACCCCTCCGGCCAACCCGGGAAAGGAAACCTTGATTCAATGACCCAGTTGGGAAAGCAGGTAGGGAAGTTCTCTGAGCCCTCATTCGGTCCTCATGGCGCCGCCGGGCTGCCGCTCAACACCCCCCTGGCCCAGCCCCGCGGCCCTCTGTCAAGGCCGCACCAGCTGTCCCCTGCCCAGGGCGAGACCACAGAGCGTTCATTTGTGCTCCCAGAGCAGAAAGTCCAGGCAGATGTGGGGGCGCCCAGCGCGTGGGCCGTGTCTGTCCCCGCCGGGGGACGGCGGTGGCTTAGGGTGCCCCTGCACGGAGCAGCGAGTGACAGCGTGTTGTCTCTCCTCGTTTCAGCCCCTGATGATCAGATTCCAGGCGGCGCTGAAGAGTTACCTCACTCGACAGATAGAGAAGCTGAAGCTGGAGCTCCAGGAGCTGGTGCGTCCGCGCCGGGTCCCCGTCCTCCGCTGTGCGCCCGCGTCCCCGCGTCCCGTGACCCGCTTCTCTCCGCGCAGGCCGTGGTCACCAAGCAGACGCACGCCCAGCGGCAGGACGTGGGCATGAACCTGTACGGGGTCCAGCAGCACCTGGCGCGCTTGCAGATGCAGCTGGAGCGCAACCATGACCGCTACTCCATCGCGGCCTGCGAGCGGCGGCAGAAGGAGGAGGAGCTGCAGGCCACGCGCGTCCTCTACGCCCGGACCTGCGAGGCAGCCAACGAGGAGCGCAGGAAGCGTAAGGCGCGCCGGGCCCACAACCCCAGGCGCCTGGGGGCGGCTGCACCCTTTGCAGGGGGGTATGCGTGTCCCGGGGCTGCCGGAGCAAAGGGCCGCAAAGCGGATGACTTTAAACAACAGAGATGTATTGTCAGAGTTCTGGAAGCTAGAAGTGCGAATCAGGGTGTGGGCAGGGCCATGTTCTCTGGAAGGCTCTAGGCGAGGATCTTTCCTTGTCGCTCCTGGCTCCTGGTGACCCCAGGCGTTCCGTGTCCGGCAGCTGCAGTGTGACTGTCATCGCGTGGATGGCTTCCCTCTGTATCTCTGCCTCTTCTCTTTTATAGGACACCACTCACTCCGGATCAGGGCCCCTCTACCCCCCTATGACCGCCCGTTACCTGATAACATTTCAAAGACTTTATTTCCAAACAGGAAACCCTGGTGGTGCAGTGGTTAAGAGCTATGGCTGCTAATTTGGCGGTTTGAATCCACCAGGTGCCCCATGGAAACAGTACGGGGCACTTCTACTCTGTCCTGTAGGGTCACTATGAGTCGGAAATGACCAGACAGCAATGGTTTTTTTATTTCTAAACAAGGTCACATCACAGGTACCAGGGGTTAGGACTTCAGCATATCTTTTTGGGGGCCACCATCCAACCCTTAACAGGAGGGAAGGCAGAAGTATCTTAACCCAAACCGAACCCGTCGCCATTGAGTCAACTGCTGACCTTTAGGTTATCAGCAGAACTCTTATCCACCGCGCCACCAGGGCTCCACCAGGTATCTTAGAAGACTCCTACTTAGACAACGGGAGTCCCTGGGTAGTACATGCAATGAACGTGCTTAGCTGCTAACTGAAAGGTTGGAGGTTTGAGTCTACCCAGAGGTGCCTTGGAAGAAAGGCCTGGTGATCTGTTTCCAAAAAACCAGCCATTGAAAACCCTAAGGAGCAGTTTTACTCTGACGCACAGTGTTGCCGTGAGTTGGAGTCACCTCTTCAGCTGGTACTAGTAAAGATAAAGGAGGCCCAGACAGGAATGTTGGAAGAAAGGCCAAACTTGCCTACACATCGTTGGTTGTTATGGATTGAATGATGTCCCAAAAATATGTGTTGTAAACCCTAACCTCTATGCCTGTGGTTATAATCCCATTTGGGAATGGATTGTCTTTGTTATGTTAATGAGGCAGGATGAGTGTAGGGTGTGTTTTAAGTCAGTCTCTTAGGAGATATAAAAGAGATTAAACAAGCAAGCAGAGATGAGAAAGAGAGGCACCAAGCCACCTGAGGACTGCCCAGGAGCAGAGGCTCAGAAGAAACCAGGGTCTTCCTCCAGAGGTGACAGAGAGAGAAGGCCTTCCCCTAGAGCCAGCGCCATGAATTCAGACATCTAGCCTCCTAAACAGTGAGATAATAAAGTTCTGTTTGTTAAAGCCATCCACTTGGGGTCTTTCTGTTACAGCAGCACTAGATAACTAAGACATTGGTGAAATTAAATTCCAAAGATAAAGAAAAAAAATGCTGTAGGCTTCTAGGCAGCACCCAAACCAGATTACTGAGCACGGAGAGGCCCTGGGCCCTGGATGGCTCTTCAGTCCTGTTCTCCACGTGCTGCCCCTGTGAGTGACCCAGGGAGAACTCAGAGACCACTGGGACCCGGCCCAGCCCTGATTTCTGATTGGTTTGTTCTAGGATGGGGCTAGGCTTTGTTTCTTGCCTCTGTTAGCCTTCCATGTGATTCTAATGTGTACCCAAGGCTGAGAACCACAGATCTGGGGTAGCAATGCTTACAGATTCCCCTGGGGAAGGATGAGCAAAGCTCCTTCTACACCGGAACAACAGATTGTTTAAAAATCAATGACAAAGTGAAGTTCACGCGTGAAAATTTTGGGTACAGTGCAAACCTCTCAGATCAAACCCATGGCCCCGCAAACTTCCATTTACACTGTCATAAACAAGACTGAAAATGAGACATGCTATTTACAAAGCCAAAAACCAAAAAAAAGGCAAAGTGAACCAAAAGAAGTAGGGAGAAGAAATTAATAAAGATAAAAGCAGAAGTTGGCGAAATAAAAATTCAAAAAAGAATTCACTTGATAAATAAAAATGCTTTTTTTTGAAAAAACGAGCAATGAAAATAATCATCTCTGAGATTTCTGATAAAGAACATAAAAGAGATGGCACAAGTAATGACTACAGGAATAAGGACAATTCGGAGAAATTTTTTTTCTTTTAATTTTAAGAAAGCTATGCATCCTGCTGGCTTAATTACTGGAGAGATGGAAGATTTTGCCCCAAATCTATCTTTCCTAAAAGTACCAGTAAGAGAAGGTGTCATGGAAGAGTTCTATTAACCTTTCAGCCAACAGACATTTCCTGCGTTACTCAGCTGTCCCAGGGAGGGGAAAAGATGGGAAACTCTCCCCAGATTTGTTAAATGCTTAGTATAATGCTTACTCCAAAACTTAACAATGTATAAAGACAGAAAACTATAAATTGATCTCACTTATGTGGTGCAAAAATCCTAAATAAAATATTAGCATATTAGTGTCAGCCATATATTAAAATAAAAATACTTTATAGCCACCCATTTAAAAAAAGCTTGCTGCCAACTCGTCGATTCTGACCCATAGCGACCCTATAGGACAGAGTAGAACTTCCCCATAGGGTTTCCAAAGCTGTGATCTTCACCGAAGCAGACTGCCACATCTTTCTCCCGCAGACCAGCCGGTGAGTTTGAACTGCCAACCTTTAGATTAGCAGCCAAGAGCTTTAACCACTGTGCCACCAGGACTCCCTATAATAGCTATAATAACTATAAAATACTTCAGGAATAAGTCTAACAATAAGTGAGTGAGTCTGTATGAAGAAAAACAGTAAAAACGTACTAAAGGACATGAAACAGATTTAAATAAATGGAGCCACCATATTACGGGGTAGGGAGATGCAGTACTGTACAATGATCCTGTATCTAAAAAAAAAAAAATTAACTTTAAGCTATATCCTTCCAGAACCACCAATACAATAGTCACCCAGCAACCTTTTAGCCTGTAATTGAGTTTGAACCTATGCACTGAAAGTGAGCAAACAATCACCAATGAAGCTACAGCTCCCAAATAAATGGGTATGCTAGCTTTATCCAAGGACCCCTGGTGGCACAGTGGTTAAATGCTCGGCTGCGAACCGAAAGGCCTGTGATTGGAACCCACCAGTGGCTTTGCAGGAGAGAAGACCCAGAGATCTGCTTCCTGCCTAGGAATCTGCTTCTGTAAAGGTTAAACCCAAACCAAACTCATTGCCGTCGAGTTGATTCCAACTCATAGCCACCCTAGAGGACAGAGCAGAACTGCCCCATAGGGTTTCCAAGGAGCGGCTGGTGGATTGGAACTGCCCACTTTTGGTTAGCAGCGAGCTCTTAACCACCGAGCCCCCAGGGCTCCCCCCATCTCAGGCCCCGTGGAAAGGTGTGTGTGACTGGCGACGGAATGACCTTTCCCTCTTCCTCCTGCAGTGGCGGCGCTGCACACCGAGGTGGAGAGCCTGTCCCTGCGCCTCTTCTACATGCAGAATATAGACCAGGATGTGCGTGACGACATCTGCGTGATGAAGCAGGTCGTCAAGAAAGCTGAGATGGAGAGGATGCGGGCCGAGATAGAGAAGAGAAAGCAGGTATCCCGCGAGTCCACCCACATTGAGTTACCACCTTCAGTTTTCAAAAAGGTGCTCCGTCCCACCACTTGCTGCAGCTCTCACTGCAGAGGAGCCCTGGTGGCGCAGTGGTTAAAGGGCTCAGCTGCAAACCAAAAGGTTGGCGGTTCGAACCCACCAGCCACTCTGAGGTAGAAAGACGAGTCAGTCTGCTTCCGTAAAGATTTCAGCCTTGGAAACCCAATGGGGCAGTTCTACCCTGTCACATGGGGTCGCTCTGGGTCGGAATCGACTTGACAACCGTGGGGGTGTTGTTGTTTTTTGGTGTACTACAGCCTGGAGGTCAGGGCTCCTCTTGGTATCTGTCTTGGTTTCCAAGTACTGCCATGACAAAAACACCGCAAATGGGTGGTTTTAAAGAACAGAGTTTTATTTTCTTACAGTTATGGAGGCTAGAAGGCCAAATTCAGGGCGTCGGCAGGGTGAGGCTCTCTCTCTCTCCCTGTGGGCAGTAGGAGAAGACCTTTCCTTATCTCTTGCAGCTTTCTCAGCGTTCTTTGACTTATAGATGGATTCCCACATGGCGTCTTGTCCCTGTGTGTGTCTCTCTGTGTCTGTTTTCCTTTTTTATAAGACACCATTCAGAAGGGATCAGGTTTAGGACCCACCCTACTCCAGTATGACCTCATTAACGGAACAAAACAAAAGCCCTATTTCTAAGCGATGTCACACTCATAGAAACAGGGATCAAGGACACCAACATGTCTTTTTGGGGGACACAATTCAGACTATGACAGTATTGTTGGCCAACCCTCGGAAGGGTTGGTAGAGAACGGCCCCTCAAGCCTAGACCTGTCTCCACAGGGCATCTTCTCTTCTTGCTCCCCAGGACCTACACGTGGATCAGCTCACCACTCAAGCCAATCAGCTGGAAGAAAACATCGCCCTGTTTGAGGCTAAGTATCTTGCCCAGGCTGAGGACACCCGGACCTTACGAAAAGCAGTGAGTGAGGTAAGAGCACCCCCTGCAGCTCTCACGAGCAGAACCACCCACTTCACTCGCACCGCAAAGGGCATTGACAAGTGACCCAGGGCCTGGCATGTGGCAGACAGGTCACACATGCCATTGAATGAGTGACTGTAACCAGTGGTGCCCCCAGTTTCCTAGCCAGTTCCTTGAGGTTAAGAGCCGGGTCTCATCCATCTGTATACCTCCTTAGGTATCTCAATATTGCAGCTTGGAGCTCGAATTTTTTCTTCAGTTCTTTCACCTTGAGAAATGCTAAGTGTGTTCTTCCCTTTTGTTTTCTGTCTCCAGGTCTTTGCACATGTTATAATACTTTACATTGTCTTCTCGAGCTTCCCTTTGAAATCTTCTGTTCATCTCATTTACTTCATCATTTCTTCCATTTGCTTTAGCTACTCTACGTTCAAGAGCAAGTTTCAGAATCTCTTCTGACATCCATTTTGGTCTTTTTTTCTCTTCTGTCTTTTTAATGACCTTTTGCTTTCTTCATGTATGAGGTCCTTGATGTCATCCCACAACTCATCTGGTCTTCGGTCATTAGTGTTCAATGTGTCAAATCTGAGCTTGAGATGGTCTCTAAATTCAGGTGGGATATACTCAAGGTCATGCTTAGCTCTAGTGAACGTGTTGTAAGTTTCTTCAGCTTCAACTTCAACTTGCATATGGACAATTGATGGTCTGTTCCGCAGTTGGCCCCTGGCCTTGTTCTGACTGATAATATTGAGCTTGTCCATCATCTTTTTCCACAGATGTAGTCAGTTCGTTTCCTATATATTCCATCCAGTGAGGTCCATGTGTATAGTTGCTGTTTATCTTGTTGAAAAAAGATATTTCCAATGAATAAGTCATCGGTCTTGTAAAATTCGATCATGTGATCTCCTGCATCATTTCTATCACCAAGGCCCTATTTTCCAGCTACTGATCCTTCTACTTTGTTTCCAACTTTTGTGTTCTAATCACCAGTTGCATGTTTGATCCATTTCAGACTGCAGAAGTTGGTAAAAATCTTCATTTTGTCATTAGTGCTTGGTGCATAAATTTGAATAATAGTTGTATTAACTGGTCTTTCTTATAGGTGTATGGATATTATCCTATCACTGATGGTGTTGTATTTCAAGACAGACTGACAAACTGGCAGACAGGTGGTAGACCTATAAGTATAATTAACCTATAGTGTATTCCAAATCCAATCTAATTTTTTAACTGATGAAATGATTCTTAAGTTTATCTGAAAAATAAACTGGCCAAGAACTGTTTTGAAAGGGAAGATTCATGTAAGGTGATCCACCATCCTAGGCTGTCCAGGAGTCAAGGGTTTCCGAGACACAGGATTTTCAGCACCGAAACCAGAGATAATCTCGGGCAAACTGGGAGGCTGGGTCACCCCAGCATTGCCCTACCAACATTAAAAGGTGTTGTAAAGCTGAATGGTGAATATTTTGGTGTATGTATTTTCACAATAATAAGTAAGTATACAGTAAAACCTGCAAAAGCTGGAGCCTGTATAAGGCAGAAGTTTGTCAGAGAAGGAAAAGTAAAATATCTTACACTAAAAGGAGCTATAGAAAAGTGGTAAGACTGCACCCTCTCAAAGGTGGAAAACTTGCAAGACCCAGTCCAGTCATGTTCCGGCTCTCACAGTTTTCCCTGTATATGTATGGATGTTGTGTGCCGTGGAATTGATTCCCACCCATACAGACCCTATAGGACAGAGTAGAACTGCCCCATTGGGTTTCCTAGTGTCTTAGTCACCTAGTGCTGCTATAACAGAAATACCACAAGTGGATGGTTTTAACAAAGAGAAGTTTATTTCCTCACAGTCAAAGTAGGATAAAAGTCCAAATTCAGGATGTCAGCTCCAGGGGAAGGCTTTTCCTCTCTGTCGGCCTTCTTCTCTTCAGTGTTGCCCCGGACTAGGAGCTTCTGTGCCTGGGGACCTCGGTCCAAAGGACACGCTCTGCTCCCGGCACTGCTTTCTTGATGGTATGAGGTCCCCAATTCTCTGCTTGCTTCCCTTTCCTTTTATCTCGAGAGATAAAAGGTGGTGCAGGCCACACCCCAGGGAAACTCCCTTTACTTTGGGCCAGGGATGTGACCTGGGTAGAGGTGGTGTTACAGTCCCACCCTAATCCTCTTTAACATAAAACTACAGTCACAAAATGGAGGCCAACCACACAATTCTGGGAATCATGGCCCACCAAATTGATACACACGTTTTTGGGGGGACATAATTCAAACCATGACACCTAGGCTGTAATCTTTATAGGAGCAGATGGCCAGGTCTTTTCTCCTGTGGAGCAGCTGGTAGGTTTGTACCATTGACCTTTCGGTTAGCAGTCGGGCGCTTAACCATTACACCTCCATGGCTCTCTCTATATATTCATATATGTATATATGTAGGTATATATGTGTATGTATGTATACATTATATATCTGTATATGTATGTATATATATTATAAAGCTCTAAAAGTTAAAATAATGTGTTATTGGGATCAGGATGGATGGAGAGACCACGGGAACCTATGAGAGAGCCCAGAAACAGAGGTTTATATAAACTCTAGTAGATTATAAATTAGTGGAGAACAAGTGAATTATTAAGCAAATGGTGTTGGGACATTTGGTTAATCATTTAGGAAAAAAAAATTAATTTAAATCTTTTCCTCATACCAGACAGTAAAATAAATTCCAGATGGAATCAAGTATTTAAATGGGAGGAAATGTACTGGAAGAAAATAAAGAAAAATATTGATAAAATCTTGGGCTGAGGAGGCCTTTCTAAGCATAACACTAAAAGCAGAATTCTTCACAGAAAAGATGAGGAGGGTTGACTACACAAATAACAGCACTTTTGTCCATTAAGGACATCAACAACAAAACGAAAAGACAAGAGACACACTTGGAAAAGACAAATTTACAACCACTAGTGAACCTGGTGGCAGGAAGAGATTTTGAAAATCAGTAGAAAGTGCCCTGTGCACTTTGATACCAGATGATGGTGGTATCTTACACAATGCTGAGTAGTTTTCTTGTGTTATGTCTTTTGTATTTTCTGCCTCAGTGCTGAGGGTGTCTTCACCAGGGCAGGCTCCTCCATGTGTTGCTCATTTTTGCACTCCCATTGCCCAGAACAGGGTTTGGCCATAACAGGTGCACTGTAGATGCTGGTCCGGTGCCCGGCAGGTGTTGGAGCAAGGGCAGCCAGCATGCTACTCTCCCCGCGATCCTCCCCTCGCCCTCGCCCCCACAGCTCCCAGCACACCAGGGCCCCAAGTGAAGGCTTCTAGGTGTCTTTAAGGTGTGGTTAATTTCATTTCTATCCTTTTGCTGATGCATGATAAAGAAAAGTATCTATGGGTTCTCTAGAGAAACAGAACCAGTGAGACGTGAGACAAAAACCTGTTGCTCTCGAGTTGATTCCAATTCATAGTGACCCTATAGAACAGAGTAGAACTGCCCCATAGGGTTTCCAAGGAGCAGTTGGTGGATTCCAACTGCTGACCTTTGGGTTAACAACCAAGTTCTTAACACTGCGCCACCAGGGCTCCAAGACATGAGACATACACATATATAAATATATATATATAACTGTATATAAATAAAAGAGCAGCCCTCATGGCACAGTGGTTAAGTGCTCGGCTAGTAACCAAAAGGTCAGCAGTTCGAACCCACCACCACTCTGCAGGAGAAAGTTGTGGCAGTCTTGGAAACCCTATGGGCAGTGCTACTCTTTCCTATAGGGTCGCTATGCATCTTGACAGAATCAACACAATGGGAATGTTGTTGCTTTAGTTAGGTGCTGTCAAGTCAGTTCTGACTCATAGCGACACTATGTACCACAGAACAAAACACTGCCCGGTCCTGTGCCAAGCTCACAATCGTTGTTCTGCTTGAGCCTGTTTTTGCAGCCACTGTGTCAATTCATCTCGTTGAGGGTTTTCCTCTTTTTCACTGACCCTCTACTTTACCAAGCATGATGTCCTTCTCCAGGGACTGATCCCTCCTGACAACATGTCCAAGTATGTAAGACGTAGTCTCGCCATCCTTGCTTCTAAGGAGCATTCTGGTTGTACTTCTTCCAAGATAGATTTGTTCGTCCCCCACGTGTCTGCCAGTTTGTCATACTGTGGGGGCTTGCGTGTTGCTGTGATGCTGGAAGCTATGCCACCGGTATTCAGATACCAGCAGGGTCACCCATGGCGGACAGGTTTCAGCTGAGCTTCCAGACTAAGACTAGGAAGAAGGACCCGGCAGTCTACTTCTGAAAAGAACAATGGAAATGAGTATATATATATATGTGTGTGTGTATGTACTATATTTATATATACGAGAGAGAGAGAGATTTACTTCAAGGGATTGGCTCACACAATTGTGGGGCCTGACAAGTGCAAAATCCATAGGTCAGATAGCAGGCTGGAGATTCCTGCAGGTTTTCATCCCAAGATCCATAGATCAGGGGATAGGAAGGGTGCAGAGTGGAGAGAGAGCCAGGTCTGCCAAAATATCTATTTACAATGTTGAGGTAGACCACACCCTAAGGAAATTCCCCTTTTGACTGATGGATTGATTATGTTACATTATGGAAGGTAAGTACATTCCATTGCGTTAGATTACACTACGGAACAGTAACTAGTCTAGTGTTTGGCCAGGCCACTGGGAATCCTAGTCTGGCCAAGCTGACACACAAAATTAACCATCGCAAAAAGCAACGGAGGAGTAAGAGAAAGAAGATAGCTCGGGGCACTAGGGCTGCGGAGTTCCTCTGGGGCTGTGGCCGTAGACAAGATGAGACAAGTTGGCCCCCTCTCTGCAGGCCTGCATGGAAATTGACGCCATCAACATGGAGAAGAAGCGTATCCTGCAGCAATGGGCCACCAGCCTGGTGGGGATGAAGCACCGCGACGAGGCCCACAGGACCATCCAGGAGGCCCTGAGGTGTGGGGTGCTGGGGCACAGGGCGGGCGGGTGGGGGCCACCTCCACCAGGTGCACAGAGGGTCCTCCTGCCAGCATCCCGAGACAAAGGCGCACCTGGAGCCCTGAAGCAGGGCCTCTTGGAAACTCCCCATTGTTCTGGGATTCCATGCTGCTTAAGTGCTCTCAAGTTTTCCAAGGGGGATGCGGGGGCGGGGGGGGCAGCAGTGCTTTCATGCTTAAACTCCCCGGGAGGGTTAAGGGAGAGAGCAAGGGGGAAAGGAGACCAGGATGTTTACCTTCGGGAGATAAAGGTCTCCCTTTGATGTTCAGCTTCACCACCTCTGTGCAGACACGCCCTCCCTTCACCATTGTTCTGCCTTGGTCCAACCAAGATCCTCTGTCTGAAGCCCCACGCGGAGGTGGTAGGAGCCCCCTCCTCACCTGGGACTGTCCTGTCGCTTCCAGCAGGGGATGGAGGCAGAGGGTGCTCTTTAGCACCGCAGGTTTCATGCCTTCATTCCCAACCAGTTGTCACCAAGTCAACTCTAATTCATGACAATCCGTGTGTGTCAGAGTAGAACTGTGCTCCTTAGGGTTTTCAACGGCTGATTTTTTGGAAGTAGATCTCCCGACCTGTCTTCAAAGGCTCCTCTGGGTAGACTCAAACCTTGGACTTTTTGGTCCAGCAGCCAAGAGTGTTAATTGGTTGCTCCACCCAGGACTCCTTGGCCTGTCCATGCAATGGAATATTACTCAGCCACAAAAGGAAGTGAAGTTCTGGTACAGCTCCAACAGTGTAGATGGTGAGAGCATGATGCTGAGTGAAATATGCCAGACAATAGGGCAAATATCGTGTGATCCCACTTAGAAGAAATACCTTGAATAGGCAAATGCTTAGAGACAAAAAGTTGTGAGTGGTTACGAGGAATTGGCGGGACAGGGGTGGGTAGGCATTGCTTGCGAGGCGTTGAGTTTTGGTCTGGGGTAATGAAAACGTTTGGAAATAAACAGCGGTAAGGACTGCACAACTTGTGAATATAATTAATGCCACCGAATTATACACTTAAAAATGGTTAAAATGGCACATTTTATGTTATATGTATTTTACCACAGTTAAAAAAAAAAAGAGGCGTTGGCCGTCTGCGGACGAGGGAAGTTTTCCCGGTCATCCCACACGGGTGCATTAATGCCCGGCCAGTTAGTGAGACTGTCACCAGCTTTGGACGTGAGTGAGGACCGGGCTGAGGCCCCTCCATGAGTACAGCACTCGGGGCCGGCTCTCCGGGCTTACAGCCTGTGTCCCCACAGGGACCCCTCGAGGCAAGCTCACCACCACGAGCCCCCCGCGCATTGTTCAGCTCTCCCAAGCCTCCAAGACTAACCCGCTCCCCACTCCCATCTGTCCTCCTGGCACACCCCCCTCCCCCGGCCACCGGGCTAGTTTCTACATGTCCCCAGAGACCCGGCTTTACCGTCCTCACCTCCTCATTTCCCGTTTTGATATTTGATCTTTTGTATGAGTCACTTGGTTAAAATTCTTTTTCAGTCTTGTACAGGGAAGCCTCCCTCCCCGCAGTCACCTGCTCCCCTCCCACAGGAAAGGCTCCTGGGCTCTGGGCCCCCCTCCTGGGCACTCAGTGCATTACCAGCCAATACACGCGGTCACCTGCTCGCTTCCCTTCCTGTGTCGCGGTGGCGTGCTGTGCACGCTGCTCTGCACTGCGCTTCCTTCTTCAGCAACATCGTGGGCATCTTTGCAAATCAAAACCTGTAGACTCTCGGACCCTCCTCCTCCCCCCGTGTGGCCTTTGGTGTGTGGAGGATGGTCCCCTCCAGGCCATTGGGCCGTTCACACTCTTGCTGTTGCACGCAAGCCACCACTTCTAGGGTTGCTGCATTAACAACTGTATCAGATACATCACCGGGCCGGGCTTTGGGCTCTGGGGTCTCGGGGATGCTCATCTGCAGGCCTAGTGGGTGTTGCCCAGTGGGACTGTGACAATGACACCCGCCAGCACTGTGCAAAGTCCCGGCCACCTCGGTGTGCTACTGCACGGTTGGATTGTGCCAATCTGATAGTTGGGAAAATAATATCTTGTTTTGTCAAATATGCAGGCATACAACGTTGTAAAAACGACTTGAGGGCAGTGTCTGACCTCCTCTAACTTCCTCTAACAAGGGGAAGGAGAATCAAGATCAACAGCCCAAGGCTGATTCTTACAAGGGAGAGGTCAGACATGCCTCCTCTCTCTGCCGTCTTTACCAATTCTGACACCAACTGTCCTTCCCATGGCACTCTCTACTTCTCTGCTGGGTTCAATAATTCACTGCAATGGCCACACAGAACTCACAGACCATACTCACAATTATGGGGTTTATTAGGGAAGTAACAGGTTACAATTCAGGCTCAGGAACACGCAGGATACAGTTCTTCCATCAGGACAGCCTCTTCTCAGCAGTGCTTGCAGGCACGCCTCTCCCCAGCCCTCGGTCTCTGCCCACAGGCACTCAGCGTTCTCTCCCCATGGGCCGGGAAGCCCGCCACGCCATGTCCCGCTGCCAGGTCTCCGCTGCTCGCCGCCCTCGGTGTCAGCTCTCTCTCTGTCTCCTGGTTCCAGGAGCCACTCAGTGCAGGGGTCCAGGTGCGAAGGATGCGCTGTCTACTCCTGGCTGTTCTTCCTTGGTGCTGGTGGGTCCTCTCTTTCCTACCTCTGGGGTCTCTCATTTCAAGCCCAGCGGGATGGCAAAGCCTACCAATCCCTTTGGCGGGCCACAATTATCCTGTCACACGGGCCCGCCCAGTCACTGGGGTGAGAGTTACAAGACCATGGCGAGAAAGGCCACAAAAGGCAATCCATCACACATCAAATGTTCATTGAATGTTTTACCAAAGACATACACCAGATACACATACACAGGGACACACAGTCATATATACACACACATACAGACTCACACACAGACTCACACAGGCTCATTCGCACACATACACACTCACACACAGACACAGAGACACTCACAGACTCACAGAGACTCATTCACACACACACAGACTCATACATACGCACACAGACTCACACACATACACACAGACTCACACAGGCTCATTCACACACATATAGACTCATAAATACACACAGACTAACACAGATACACACATACACACAGACTCACACACACTCATTCACACACACAGACTCATACATACACACACATACATACTCACATACACACACATACACACAGACTCACACATCCGCAGACACTCACAGACTCACACAGGCTCACACACAGACAGCACCCAGTTGAAAATGTGTCCCCAACAAAGGGGCATGGACAAGGCCCTTCCGGGTTCTGTCCGTTCGTCCCTCCTGCTCAGGAAGGCCGATGGCCTTGTACCAGGCTCACAGGCATGTCAGCTATCGAGGCTGCTGGCATGTCCACTAGGAGTCGACTGAGTGGCCCCTTTGGCCCTGGGGCAGGGGCTGGGCACTGCCCTCCCCAGGATGCAGGAAGCCCTGGGTGAAGACAGACTTCTCCTAGCCACACTGACGGGGACCAGAAGGCAGGAGGGGACAGGAAAGCTGGTAATAGGGAACCCAAGGTTGAGAAGGGGAGAGTGTTAATATGTCATGGGGTTGGCAACCAATGTCACAAAACAATATGTGTATTAATTGTTTACGAGAAACTAGTTTGCTCTGTAAACCTTCATCTAAAATACAATCTTAAAAAATTAAAATTAAAATATCCCTACTCTGTCCCTCTTGGTGGTACAATGGCTTATCAGCCCTTTGGATCACTCAAAGCGTCTTCCCCCACGCATGTGTCTTACTGTGTTAAGAATCCTGTCATACAATCGGTAACTGTATTTCTAAAAATTAGGCATTATGTTTATTGTCAAGTTTTATACATTTGTAAGGCTGCCACTTCCCAAAAAAAGGAAATGAGTCACTTAATTTGTCACGCTTATTGGGGATAATTTATGTACAATGCAATTGATCCTTTTTTTTGCATTAAAAAAAATTTTGGTTGTTGTTGAAAATATACACAGCAAAACAAACACCAACAGTCTCCACACGTACAGTTCAGTGGCGTGGATTGCGTCCTTTGAGTAGTGCAATCAGTTTATGTCATGGGGGAGGAACAATCTGGAAAAGGGCGGGGAGGATGGTTGCCCAATTTTTTTTTGTTTTTAATACACAGTTCAGTGGTTTCTGGCAAATGGGCAGAGGCGAGTTACCACCTGTACACTCAAGATCTAGAGAATTTCCTTCATCCCAAAAGCCAGTGCCCTCCCTCTACCTCCAGGCCCTGGGAACCACTCCTAGTCTCCTGCCGCCATAGTTTGGCCACTTCTAGAATGTTATGGAAATGAAATACCACCGCGTGTAGCTTTGTGCGTCTGGCTTCTTTCACATAGCTTTTAAGATTCATCGCTGTTGCAATATCAGTAGTCCACTCCTTGTCATTGCTGAGTAGCATTCCATTGTAGGGACACATCACCATTTAACGATCTTCTGGCCAGTTGATGGACATTTGGGTTGTGTCTCAGTCATCTAGTGCTGCTGTAACAGAAATACCACCAGTGGATGGCTTTAACAAACAGAAGTTTATTCTCTCACAGTCCAGTAGGCTAGAAGTCCAAATTCAGGGCGTCAGCTCCAGGGGAAGGCTTTCTCTGTTGGCTCTGGAGGAAAGTTCTTGTCATCAATCTTCCCCTGGACTAGGAGCTTCTCTGCACAGAACCCCAGGTCCAAAGGACTCACTCTGCTCCTGCCACTGCTGGTATGAGGTCCCCTGTCTCTCTGCCCCCTTCTCTCTTTTATATCTCAAAAGAGATTGGCTTAAGACACAATCTAATCTTTTAGATTGAGTCCTGCCTCATTAACATAACTGCCACCTATCCCACCTCATTAACATCATAGAGGTAGGATTTACAACACATGGAAAAAATCACATCAGATGACAAAATGGTGGACAATCACACAATACTGGGAATCATGGCCTAGCCAAATTGATACACGTATTTTTGGGGGACACAATTCAATCTATGACAGGTGGTTTCCAGTTGATGGATATCACGAGTAAAGCTGCTATGACCATTCTTTGTGTGGACGTAGGTTTTCATATCTCCTGGGTATATTCCTAGGAGTGGGATTGCTGGTGAAGATATACTCCGCTTCATAACAAACTGCCAAGCTGTTTGCCAAAGCGGCGTGTTCCATTTTGCATTCCCACCAGCAGTATGTGAGAGCCCCAGTTACTCCACACCCTCACCAACCCTTGGTATTGTTTTAATGTTAGCCATTAAATGTAGCCATGAATGGATATAGTGGCATCACACTGAAGTTTTAACTGGCATTTCACCAGTGACTAGTGCTGTTGAGCATTTTTTCATGCGCTTACTTGTCATCTATGTAACTTCTTTGGTGAAGTGTCTTTTGCTCGTTTTTAAATTGAGTGGTTTATCTTATTATTGAGTTATAAGAGCCCTTCATATATTTTGGACACAACTCCTTTATCAGACATATATTTTGAAAATATTTTCTCCCAAGCCGTGGTTTGTCTCTTCATTTTCTTCACAGTGTCTTTGAAGAGCAGATGTTTCAAATTTTGATGAAGTCCAATCAATTGTTTTCTTTACAGTCCATGCTGTTAATGTCCTCTCTCGGAAATCTTTGCCTGGCCCAGTGTTACAAAGATTTTCCCCTATTTTTTTCTGCAAAGTTTCGCTCTTGCACTTAGGTCTGTGATCCATTTCAAGTTAATTTTTGTTATGGTGTGAGGTAGGGGTCCGGGTTCATTGTTTTGCATGTGGATGCCCAGTTGTTCCAGTATCACTTGTTGAAAAGACTACCCTTTTTCATTGAGAAACCATGGCACATTTGTCAAAAACCAACTGATTGTGTGAGTGTGTGTGTGTGTTTCTGGACTCTCTGTTCTCTTCCATTAATCTATTATTTGTTAATTCTTTCACCAGTATCACACTGTCTTCATAACTGTAGCTTTCCAAAAGTCTTCAAATCAGGTCATGTTGGTCTTTTACACAATGATTTTGGCTGTTCTAGGTCCTTTAGATTTCCATATACATTTTAGAATAGCTTGTCAATTTGTTTTAAAAAATCTGCCTCCTAGGATTGTGATTGGAATTGCATTGACTCTATGGATCAGTGAGGAAGAATTGACATCTTAACAATATTGAGTCCTCTGCCCTATGAACTTGGTATACCTCTCCAGTCTCTGTATTTTTTAATTTGATGTTGGTTATAGGTATTTTCATCACTGGGATACTGAGGGGAGACAGTGGCATTGAAGTAATGCCAATCAGATGTCCATCTCAGCTGCTCCATTTACTGTGGACTTTGGCAAATTGCTCCAGTGCACTGAGCTTCAGTGTCCACATCTATAAAATCGGGATGATAATATTTCTTTTCTAGGATCGTTGTCAGGATTAAAGAAGACGGTAGATGAATGCCTCCCCACAATGCCTGGCTGTGGTGTTACTTTCCTCCCCTTCTGTGTCCCTGTAATCACAACATTCAAAGAGCATCTAAATAGGACTTTAAGTGCCCAGTCGTTCTACTACTATGTTAGAAAATAGTAGCCAATATTTGGCTCCTATGAAAATAATTCATTTCCTAATTTCTCTCTCTACATGGAGATTTCTATTTAGTGCGTTTCCTTCAAGTGGGGACAACCACATGCGTTTGCTTTCTGAGTTCCCATCCAGCACATAACTGGCTTTGCTCTCTCATTTCGGCAGTGAATACCAGCATCAAGTCAAGTCCATCGACGGGGAGATCGAAGCCTACAAGAAATCAATCATGAAGGAGGAAGAAAAGAACGAGAAGCTAGCAAGCATCCTGAACAGGACGGAGACCGAAGCCAACCTCATGCAGAAGTTGACCGCCCAGTGCCTGGCCAAACAGGAGGCCCTGCAGAACGAGTTCAACACCTACCGGCTAACCCTGCAGGACACGGAGGACATTCTAGCCAAGGCCCACCAGGTGCTGCCACGTCCCCCCTCGGGCTGGTGCCTCCGCGGCTGCTGCTGGCGCAGCGGTGCCTCTGTAACAGTGTCCACCTCTCTGCTCTTCCCTTCCAGGAACACACAGCCCTCCTGGGCGAGCTGCAGACCATCAGCCAAGCCATCCAGAACGAGATGGACACGAGGAGGAAGTTGGAGGCGTCCATCCTGGAGAAGCTGCAGGAGCACGTGACCTCCAACAAGATGACCAAGTACTTCAGCCAGCTCATCGTCAAGCTGCAGAAGGAAAAGACCAACCTGGTACCGAGGTCTCCTCGAACTCAACAGCAGCCCCTACAGGCCAGGCGTGGAGGAAGTCCCGCCCCTCGGCCACAGGGTCTGGTGGAGGAAGTCCCGCCCCTCGGCCACAGGGTCTGGTGGAGGAAGGCCCGCCCCTCGGCCACAGGGTCTGGTGGAGGAAGGCCCGCCCCTCGGCCACAGGGTCTGG